TCCAGAGTGTGTGTGGTTTTTCCAGCCAAAGTCGGGTATTTAAAGGGCAGCTTCTGAAAGCAGAGGACCCAGCTATGTGACCTTGTGCGGGTTTCTTTACTTCTCCCTGTCTCAACTTTCTCATCTATAAAATGGATCCAAACCTTCCCTGTAGTGCTATTGGGAGGATTGCGTGAGCTAGCTCAGTGTGTGGGTGTGTGGGTGGTGGTGGGCTCAGTGCCTGGCACATGGGCTTGTGAGGCACAGTGGTATCATTGGCACCTCTGATCAATGCAGCGCATGGGGGCTCCCCAGGAAGGGAGGGAGGGACAGAGCTCCTCTTTGGGTTGGAAACATGGGAGGGAAACGATGGCCAGGAAGAGATAGATCTCTTCAGCACGCCCTCATTGATGGGCAGTCCCACAGCCAGGCAACTGTCACCCAGGGTGATCAGAGCTGTGGAGGAGACCCACAGGAGCGCCTGGCCTGGGCTGCAGGGACCAGAAAGCTTCCCCAGGAGATCCCTGAAGGCAGAGGAGGATGGAAGCAGGGAATGGACCCCGAATCCGATGGGGACCAGAGGCTGGGGTAGTCAGTCACCAGGCCGCAGCCCAGGACCCCCCAGTCCAACTGCTTTGCACCAAGGCCTGGAGCTCGGGAGAAGCCAGCCACTTCCCCTGGGCCCGCCCCATCTTCACGCCCTGCTGCCTGGAATCTGAGGCAGCCCTTGTTCTCTGGCAGGAGGGGAATTTAATGCCGCTGAGAGATGGCAGGTCGACAGGCAGAGAAAGATGAAAGTGTCCGCTCTGGCAGGCGGGCCGGTGGCCTCGGGGGACACTCCCACCATCCTCCCCAGCCTTTCCCCCACTCCTTGTGTCAGGAAGAGCCCCCAAGGGGCCCTCGGGGGAGATGTGGGCCTCGGAGGACTGGACTCCCTGCAGGGCTGTGTGACCTTGGGGGCGCAGCTGGGCCTCTCTGTGTCTGCAGGGTGTCTGGCCCAAGGTCTGTATTAACATGCTGGTGGCTGCCTGTGTCTACCTCCACCCTTGCTGTCACCAGCAACGCCTGCCGCTCAGGACTGCGGGTGGGGAGTGGGGGCGCTGGGCCAGCCATGCAGTGACCTCCATCCATCCATCTCCGGTACCTGGGAGGAGGCAACGCCATTGCGACAATTAGGTCGGGCCTGAGCGGCCCGGATTGCAGCAGAGCCAGGCGCCATCACCACCTCCTTTATGGCAGCCAGGACTGGGCTCAGCCAGAACCTGCCCGTTGGGTCACCAGCCCACAGCCCCACTGAAATGCTAGGGGTCTGGGCACTAACTGGGAGGTAACCTTACTGTTTTACAAAGCATGCTGTCAGGTGCCCTCGCCCCACAGCCTCTGACAATGTTGACCTTCTTTCCGGGACGGAGAAACAGGATGCTCCGACAAGGTCATTTTGCAAGGGCATGCGTGCTCGTGCATGGACGCACCTGCGTGCCCGCGCCCGCATGCACATACATCATGGCTTTGACACATGTTGACCAAGGACACATGTGTCCCAACTCCCAGGCCCCCTTTCCATTCTTTGAAGACAGCTGGCCCTTCTCCCAAGGCAGTCTGGTGCGGGGAACTGGCAGCCAGGAGTCTAGTTCCAACTGAGGCCCTGCTACAAATTTGCCACGATTTGGGCCTGTTGTGCCCAGGTCTCTGAGGCCTCTGTTTCTTATCTGTAAAATGGGTAAGACTGTCTCGCCTGGTCACATCCTGGAGTCCAAGAGGGAAATTTACCCAACAAACTGAGACTCCCCCAATCTGAAGACAGCTTCTATGTAGCTTTGGGCCAAGTGGAAGTACCCACAGGGAGAGCCCAGCTCCTGGCCCACAACCACCCTTCTTATACAACATGACCACAGCACGCTTACAGCAGACGGTCAAAGGTCCAGCCTGGAGTCCCGAGTCCAGAGACGTGGGTGTGGGGCGGAGGCCCTCGTCTGGGTGGGGGACAGCAGCACCAGGGGAGACTAGGCCAGGCTAAGCCTAGCTGCTGAGGCTGGGGGGAGGAGGGTGCGCCTGGCAGGCGCTGGGCATGCTGGGCTGGGGAGAGGCCTTTGGCGGCCGCAGAGAACAAAGACACTGGGGTTGCCAGGATATTCTGTGAAGCTGAAGCCGGCGGCGGTGGGGCTGGGAGAGGGGCTGTTGGCCGTGGGAACCGTGCCTGCTGCCCTCACGCCAGCTCCCCTGTCCAGACTGGGCCTCAGGGCCAGGCTGAGGGGCAAGAAGAGCTGGCAGCCCCACTCCTGAGTTGCACGACTGTCAGGGCAGAGACCCAGCAAGTGCTGTGGACAGCCATGGCACACCGTGTCAGCAGCACTGAGCAGTGTAGGTGTTACTGTCCCAGCATCATGAGAGGCAGCGTCCCCGGGGCTCACACTGTGGTCAACAGCGGCGTCACACAGACTTGTCCCCCACGTCCCCCGATTACCTCCCAGGGTCACCGTCATGGTGGCCACACACAGAGTCACTGTCACGGGGCCACGCAAGGGCAGACAGTGTTGCACGCTCCCATAGACCGTCCCACATCTCACAGAGCCGTTTCCCACCAGGTCTGTTGCAGGACTGCATGTTAGAGAACCAGGTAGGCCATGCCCTGTAGTGTGCCCTGCAGTGTGCCACTGGTGTCACACACGACTCCTCGCCCACATGGTGTCTCACACCAGCCTCCCACATACTGCCACAGGCCATTTTCATGTCACCAAGAACCACATTGCTGCACAGGACCTAATCAGAAATATCTCCCTACCACATACATGCTCCCTTAGCTCATACATGCGCACATGACACGTACACACGTGTAGGGGCTGTCTGGAGGCTGGGCTCACCACCAGCCTAGTGCACACCTCCAGTTTCTTGAAGTCACCCACCCCTGCCTCCAGAGGGGTTCCCCATGCTAGACCAACCAGATGGTGGGTCAGACTGCCTAGGGTGAAGGCTCCTGCATTACCTGAAGGGCAGACTCCTAACTGTGCAGAGGGGAGCTGCAGGCACCCAAGAAGGGGCAGGACTTGGGCATGCGACCCCAGCTGCATGGGGAGCCCGCCTCTCAGTAGAGCAGCAGGGATGAGCTGATAGGAAGAGGGAAGAAAAACACAGAGGGGAGAGACAGACAGAGATGTAGAGGCACACAGGACAGACACGCAGAGCCTCGGAGCTGCAAGAAGATGAGGAAACACAGACACAGGAGAGAGACAGAGATCATCAAGTCAGAGATGCAGAGACAGCAAGCCAGACAGAGACACAGAGCAGACACAGCTCTGGACACCCAACCAGAGACAGACAGGGCAGACAGGCTGGGCTGAGTGCGTGGGAAGGAGGGGCTGGGGGTGGGTAGCTCTATGGCGGTAGGGCAACTGGGCCGCTAGGGCTGTGGGCAGCTGCACGGCCAGGCAGAAAGTGGGTGACATCTTGGTGAGATGTTCGGTGAATAATAGTTTTAAAATAGCAACGCTGGCCACCATTGACTGTGCGCTTACTATGCGCCAGGCCCTTCCCTAGAGTGACCTCATTTCATCCTCAGGCAACTTTATGGGGACGACTGTTATTGCCCCTGTTTCCCAGATGAGGCAACCGGGGCTTGTCATGTGGCCTGGTTCGCAGGCATCCCCCAGCCTCAGAGGGGCCAAGAAGCCTCCCTGCTCGAAGTCAGGGAGGGCAGGCCACAGCTGGAAAGAAGGGCAGGGAGCTGGGGGCAGTTCTGTGTGGAGGAGTGGGCCTAAGAGACCCGGCTGGGCTTCGGGTGGGCACACGAACAGGTACAGGCTGGTTGAGTCATGGCAACCTCCCCTCAACCCCCGTAGGACTGGCACCAGAGCCGTCCGCCCCGCACCTGTAGACATGCCAATGAGGCCGGCTGAGGCCATCTGCGGCTCGAGCTGCTGCCAGCAGTTGGGTGGGCAGGCAGGGGTCTTCCGCCCGGGCTCCCCCTACTGGCCAGCCCCCACCCCTGCCCCCAAAAGGGGCTGCAGTTTGTCTTGTGCTAGGGGTGAGGGTGCCCCTGGCTGTAACACCTCCCCTCTACCCCCCACTGGACACCGCCCTTCGGCAGAGCCGCCTGGAGAGATCACAGGCAGCCACATGAAAGGGAATTTTTCCCAGGCAGAGATGGAGTTGAAAGCTGCCTCCCACACCCCTGCCAGGCCCTGCTGAGCCAGGCCTGCTGCTGAGCTGTGCCCGCCCACTCTCGCCCCCTCCCATGCCAGAAGGGGGCTTGTGACACCTGGGAAGGGGCTGGGGGCAGAGTGCCCACCTCATGGGACTCCGTTCGTCTCCTGGGAACCGTGAGGAAGGCTCTCCATTCCCCCTGCCCCCTCCATTGGTGGCTATCCTCGCCCTTTTCCTTACCTACCTAAGCCAGGTAGTTCAAGCCCCGCCTGCATCTCAGCTAGGCTCAAAGCAACTGGGTAGGAGGCAGGAGCCCCCAGTGCAGTGGATGTGGGCAGACCTCACCCCCAGAGTGGCCTCTGGCTATGTGTAGGGAACTGGGGGTCCCCAGGCACCCTTTCCTGTTCAGGATTCCCCAGCCTAGACCATGAGGCTGTATGGTAATATCCAGCCACCTGGCCTCTGGAATCCTGGATGACTTTGTGCCAACAAACGTCCTGGGGGTGGGGCAGTCACAGGAAGGCCTGAGGACCCCAGGTCCCCAGTACAGCAGCCCTCCAGTGCGTGATGTGGGCAAGGGGAACACTACATCTCAACCTTGTGTCTGCCGTGGTCAGGGCATGGTGGGTTTCGGTGACTAACGATGAAGGAAGATCGCCACAGCCAGTGCCCAACACTGACTGCTTCTCAGGCTGGCTTCTCCTGCTCTTTGCCTCAGGGACCTAAAGGCCTGCTCCAAGAGGTTTGCCCTCTAACTCTCCCGGGCCATCCACCCCACCCTGGAGATGGTCCCAAACTACACCTACCTAGAACAGCTGCCACCCCACCCCACCCCACTCCCGGGCCCAAACCCAGAGAGCAAGAAGCCAGCGATCCATCCATCGTGACACAAACATGCATTCGTTTTATTCACAAAACAGCCTGGTTTCCTAAAACAATACAAACAGCATGTTCATCAGCAGGAAGCCGGCCATGGACAGGGGGCCCTCTGGGTACCCACCCCCACTGGCGGGGAGGCGTGGGAGGGGACCCTCGCAAAGGAGTCCTGTCTTCTGTTACGGTCAGCAAGGCCAGGAAAAAAGAAAGGAAGAGGGCTCGGTCTCCCCAAGTAGCCAGGATCGGAACTATTGAGACACAGGCTCCCTAGATCCGAGTGGAGAAAACCAACAGAAACTTCATTTTTTGCCAAAACCCTCACTGTTGAGGTGGGAGACCCCCATCTGGGGGGCTGTGGGTTCAGCAGGGCAGGCCCTGGCCAGGGGGTGGGGTGGCTGCTGACCCCCCACCTCACTCCCTGGTGTGGGTGGGTACAGAGGGGATGCTACGTGGCGCCATCAACATTCTCTTTATAAACGTGAGTGGATTCCCCAGGCAGACTATGCACTATTTCATGGTCGGAAAGAATCAAAGGAAGTTTAAATGAGGGTGGAGTTAAACTGTGCTAAATTACAGTAGTGCTTATTAGTAACTAGATTTCAAAAGGTTACAGAAAATTTACATTCTCTACACAAAAACTGCATCTCCTGCACAGACAACATTGACCTCGACACAGGAAGGAAACTGATTGTCCATTCTTTGCCCAGGAAGCCTCGGTACTTTATAGACTTGTCTTTACTTCTTTCTTTTCTCTTTTCTGTTTTGTTGCTGCTGTTCTTCCGAGAGAGAAAAAAAAAAGCAGTTAATTTTTTTTTTCCTTTTCTTTTTTTATACTAGGGACGTGGAGATGTTAGAACGACAACAAAAAATATATATATAAAAACAGGAATGAAATCTGTGAGAGAATATTTTTGGTTCTAGAGACGGGTGCGTCCGTTTTGTCTTCGCCTGAATCCCTTGCCGGAGAGCACGCGAGCACTGACATTGCACGGAGAGGGCAGCTTTGGGGTCCCGCCGCCGTCACGGAAACCACCGGAAGGCGGCCCCCGTCGGAAGCGTCACCTTCTGGCGAGGGCGGGAGACAAAAACAAGGAGACAGTTCAGTCAGGGTCCGGGTGGGCCTGGCGCAGACGTTCCCCGAGGATGGCTGCGCGGGGCTGAGGGTTGTGCACGGAGAGCAGCTGCCCGCGGAGTTCCTGCCCATCCCAGCCTGGCCAGAGAAGGAGTCTTGACCCGAAGGGCCGCTGGGGGGCTGGGAGCACAGAGTTCCTGTGCCCAGGAACCCTCCAGCCAGACAGGAAGCACCAGGTGCCTGCGGTGCATCTGGGGGGGTGTACCGCTGGGCATGTGGACAGGCGCCTAAGCTGCATGGCCGGGGCACCGAGCTGTGTGTGCCCGAGTGGAGGATGATACCGGTGGGTCTGCCAACAGGCTATACCTGTCATCAGGGTGTGGCATACGAGAGGGGCAGGTGTGTGTCTCCCCACACTGGACGAGAGCAGGTGCCTGTGTGTACGCCTCTTGGTGTGTTCTATGGGAGGGCAACCAGATCTGTGATGGGGCTGTGACACCGTTTTCTTACTTTCCACCCACTTGTGTCGAGCCCACTTGCAGATGGGTGAGGATAGGGACAGGGACAGCAGGCTGAAAAGATGCTTTCGTCCTCGGGGTACAGGGGCAGGCTCTGCTACGAGGCCGGAGAGAAAGCAGCAGCATGCTGACCCTTCTGGGGCTTCCCTATGCCAATTGTACAATGGGCCCCTGGCTCACGGGGAACCCTTGGCCCCAGGACCACAGGCGCCCTGGCCATTAGCTGTGCAGCCAGGGTGGTTCCCAAGGCACCCACAAGATACTCCAAATTTTTTAACTGATCGCCCACACCAGAGTTCTCCCAGGTCTCAGAGCATGGCAGCCCAGAGAACCTTGGACTAAGGGCTGGCCCTGCAGAGTCAACTGGAAGTTAGTCTACAAGCCAAAGGGTCCATGGGGAGAACCCTACCCTCAGATGGGGCGGGGGGAGGG